AGCTGCTTGGAGCGCATTGCCATAATGGCCGCCCTGCGTATTCACCTCTGCCCCACGCTCGAGGAGAAGCCGCACAACCGATTCGTTTTCATTTTTCGCTGCTGCCTGGAGTGCACTGCCATACCAGCCACCCTGAGCATTGACGTTTACTGTGTCTGCGTTTCTATCGACTAGGGATTTACAGGCCGTCACTAAATTTAACAGGGAGCAATAGTAGATTGGTGGTGCGTAAATCTTGGAGCCAAGGATGTGAGGGTTGTCAGGATTATATATATCTAGCCACCCCTTGCCAAGCTCGAGAACCTTCACCGCCGCCTCGGAGAGTGGTGTGGGTGCCGTATCCTCAATACATCTGGTATACACAAACCAATAGCGAGCACTATGGTAGAGAAATGATGTTTCCGCAACTTTGCTCCCGTGTATAGCCCCTTGTGCACTCTGTCGCAGTATTCGACTAAGGCAAGAATATCCCATCAGTGAATTGGCTTTATCCTCCGAAATATGATAGCAGGCACTGGGGCCCTGAGCTGCCCGGTCTGAGATCAAATATTCCTTTACCGAGAAATGTGCCAGTCGTAATCGGCGGTTTTCCTGGGGGGACGATTCATCGTCCCTGGCATCCTCGAAGGAAATAAGGCTAGGGCAAATGCTCATGAAGCAATCCATATTAAAAATGGCCCCAGTCTCAGGATCCTCGCCATATTTGTCGACATCGTATCCAATCACGACAGCCTCCGCAAGCTGGCCTAACGTCAAGGGTACTGCGGAAAATGCAAGCCAATGCATCGCTCGCCGAAGATATTCCCCCTGCTTCTCATGGATGCTTTCAAGGATCCTCAAGTAGACAGAATCTAAATCTGGGGGAAGTTCTCGCAAGGCAGCTCTCACATCGTTTGGTGTTATGCATTCCTGTAGAATTCGTAAAAGACAATCCACCCATCGGAACCTGAACACCCCCACCCTTGTATCAGCGTAAATTAAAATCTGCATAGTGGAGCATAACATACATTCCCTGCGAACGAGAAACTAGTGTGTCCTCTATCTCATCCTTAATCGCTTTCGTAAATTTTTTGAAGCGATCCTTGCCACCCAGAGATTTCTGTACATATGTCCGAATATCCGGATCGACGGTTTTAGATTGGAGCGATATTGAAAATGCGGCGAGAGGTTCTAATGATCCCACTATATCGGCCTCGGGGCGGCTCGTGGCGAGAATGCAGAGGGATCCGGCCTTATGATCAACCGTAAGCTCACCGATCCACGATAGGAGATGCTCCCGTGTATCCTTAGGGAATTCATCCAACGCATCGAGTACGATAAACGTCTTCCTGAAATCCTTTATAATATGCGACAACAGATCCTTCAGAGCTGTGGTATCCACCGATTTTCCGATTGCCTTGGTGGTATTGTAGAGATCTACAACCGCACCCGGCAATCCCCGATCCGATGGCCTTTTTGGAAGTTGGCCAATAAGGGATAGGAGCATATTGTGCAATTCCTGCTTCTCGGAGTCGCTGAAGGTGAAGTAGAAATAAGCTAATGCATAATCATCGTTCGCGTTACACAGATGTTGGACATCTTCAATAGCGGTAGCACTAAAGAGTAAGTTAACAAGAAACAAGTCATATTGCACCTCTGGATACCCGGTTAGGTTCGCACCTCAGTACACTCTTGCCACATCCGGCTAGAGGACCCAAATTTTAGTGACATTCTTCCCAGCATCAGGTTTCTCATCTCTAGACATACGTATACCATGGAGCCAGAGAACCCCCCCTCTGCCTTCCTTCCAATCCATGTACTCTGGTCCCCCGAGAAGCCAACCTCCAGTACCGGGTTCACGAACAGCCAGTGTGGATGAATAATTAGCGGCTGGATCGACGACGTTGAGCCACTTCTGTACTTTGCGGAGTTCCTTCTCTAGGGGTTAGGAATATCTAGTATTAGTAAAGAGAAAAATTGGCAGGGTTAGGGATTGTGTGACCAAGTACCGTCTAGCTTTCGTAACACCTTAGTTACCGTTTTCCTAAACCCCTAGTTAGTCTTGCTACCAAAACGAAAAGGAAGTGGAGAAGTAAAGATTCTTAGTGGAGTGAATAATGGATAACCCACGTTGTGGCAGTGGTTAGCAATAGATGCAGCTTCGATCTCTGCTCTTCGACCAAGCCCAGGTAACGGTCCATTTTCGGTTTGCGAAAAGGCCAAACCAGTTTCCGGGAGGATTTCCTCCATCCCGGAACATTTAATTTGGCCTCAAGCTCTTCCAGGGCTGCGGTATACTCTTTCAAACATTTGCCTCTAGTCCATTCAAGTAGCTCAGGGTATTGCGGATTGTTCACATCGCCTTGTTCCGCGAGTCTTTCAATTTCCTTTAGCTGTTGGTCGATACCCCTAATCTCATCCCCGAGTTTCTTGAAATCTTGCTCGCTCCCCTTGACTACCTCGCAGTAGTCATCGCAAAGCTTGTAAACCTTCGCGCCGAGATGAATGAGGGTCAAGACACTGGCAATTAAGGAGATGGGCTCTGCCATTTTCCTGGTCCACGTCGTTACAGATCTGAGAGCGGAGGTGCAAAGATGAAGCTATTATAGCTCGCTATTTTTCAGAAACGATGGATAATACAAGCCGGCGTTTGATCCTAAGGTAGGCGGTTGCGGAAAATTCGTTCGCTTTAGAGTTATTCTTTTGGCTGGGGATTCAAAGATGCGGTGGAATACAGCAACTGGAGAGTAAGTTATCGGGGGTATTCAGGTGAATTTTTCTCATTAAGTCCACCAGGCGCGGGGCTGCCAGCTGCCGGCGCTTACCCACACAAGGCGGCAGCTGCATGCCCAATCTCTATTAGAACAACTGCAAGGTAACCATTATTCGAGTAGAGCAACTTCCATGCTCACATTTTTAATTATGGTCTGATTTCCTTCCCTGCCTAGGTTTCGGTGTACCGTAAGCAGTATCCCAGAGGTTGTGGAGACATTCAGTCTATTTTAAAATCTGTAACACGAACTAGTTTTAGTAATCGTGGAGGGGTCTGAGCAGACTCACCCGTTTCTATCATGCCCATGCTCAGCCACACACATTTCACAGTATCGTGAGCACTACCCTATGTTATGCCCATGAAGTTTTTCCTGTCAGGTACCAAAACCGGTTAGTGCTCCGGATTTTCAAATGGATCGAATGTCTCTACAACCTATGCGTACGCGTAACCTGGCAAAAGGAGTGTGCCTGCTGCAACTCCCACTTATCCAGGGAAAGCGTCACAGACTATTGTTCATGTCGCGCTCAAGAGGAAAGCTACGGTAGTGTACCGTAAATTACCGTACAGTACTCGGAGGCCACCGATCGCCGGGTCAACCAATAGGTGTCCCCGAGGTGCTAAGCAGAGCACTGCGTCCGATAGGGAAACGTTGAGTACAGGGCTGTGTCGCGCATGCCGTATTCTGTAGCCGCATCCATTGGTAAGGCCCGCTGACACACCGCTTGATACCTTTGGTTTGCCAAACGGATGCGACACAACAGGCTTTCACCCCCGTTCTTGAAAAGGCGCATGAACTATTTCCGCACTCCCCTTTCAACACTGAGGCTGATTGCGTCTACCTATAATATGCGAGGACCGGGATCGAAATTGCTTCCTCCAACATCGGCTTTCCCGGGGTTGAGCTATCATATCGATATTGGTGGGAGTAATCCTTTCATACTCGTATCATATAGCTATAGCCTTGTGGCCCCTACCCCACACTTGATTTCCGCTCCCGATGTCATTCCTTTTTTTCTCCGACCCACCTTCCCTATCTCCAGGCCCTGGTCGAAGTCGGGAAAACACCCAAGTACCCCGCGCCTAGTCAACCACCATATTTTCCAAACGGCGCACCGGCAGCGACTGTATGGAGCCATTTTCCCGGTGTCGCAAGTTCGTCAATCCTTCGAGTTCAAATTCTTTTCTTCATCTGAGAAAACTCTAGAAGTCAGGTCGGTTCTCCAGCTAATTGAGAGAAAACCCTTTGACGACCTCCAGCACCGAGAACCTCTAGGCGAAGGATAACATTAACTTTGATACAAGGATCTAATTTTTTTAATACACACACCGGCCTAGGTTCCTTCACGCTGGAAAATATTTGACATTGCTTCCGCTTCCACTTCCGGATTCACCAAGATACGGCCATGGGCACCGGATAGGCTAATACCAGCTTCAGTCACGCCCTTTCTTATAGCATTTGGCCCCGGTCTCTTCTGTTCACATCCGGCTCTCGGTCTCCCCATTGCGCTTAGCCCTCGATCGCTCATATCCGGCTCTCACCCCCCCCCCCCCCACCACGCCCGCCGCACTCCGCCGCTTGCCACCCGATATCCATACTCGGCCCTCCAACCATCCTAGAAGCCCTCAGTACAACCAACACCCGCTATCCTGTATGAATTACAAATCTATCTACACCCCAACATGATCTGTTTTCCCGGGTAACCAGGTGTCCCCGACAGATTCCTTCGATCTTGGTTGCTAAGGGTAGCAAGATACGACTATCTGTAGTTGTTAGTGAGTAGCTGAATTCCCCCCTTTGCACGCTCTGCTGCCGAAGCAAAATTTATCCCCCCTAGGGCCATGTCGGTGGGGTCGGGAGGGGGTCTAATGTACCTCATTCTATCCGAGTAATAAACCACGTTATCAATCAACCTAACTATCTATTTTTATTCCCTCAGCAGTTACCCTCTGGTCCCTTTACACTTCTCCCATTTTGCCCTCTCCGAGTGCCACGACTTGCCGTCGGCTGCTGCCCTGGCCATGTGTCGCCTTTCCGCAAGAAGCCACTACGACTAGTGTTACCCTCTACAAGACCTACAAGGCGTTTACCCATTCTCATATATGCTCTAGGGCATTGCAGCATACCATAGAGACCGACTGGGCTTACCGCCCTATTAGTCGCATCCTAGGGGAGGGGGTCTTGGAACCTGGACTATCCTAGGTTTGTATATAGGGCTGTATGTCGTATTCAGTGGCTCTTTGGTTCGCCGCTTGGGTTAACATTCGAACCTTCTTTTTCCTCTTGTTTTCCAAATTCAGGAGCCTAGTTAGTCTACTATGAAGGTGGGGTGTATTATTGTGATGGTGTAAGAGCACCAAACCAAAATGTTTGGCTTGTCACAAGTTTTTATGACACAATAGATCTCGTGAGCCAGATATTTTTGACGTGATAGTCCCCAACCCACCCCATGAAAAAAAGCGGGATTTTTGTCATCAACTCGAAAACGACGTTATGCTCGGCACACCAACAGCGTTGGCAGAAGAGGTGGAATTTGGCTTCTCATTTACAATTGTATCAATTGTTGTGAAATATATTGTATTGGTATTACGAAAAGGAACAGGGCAATCCCACACCTCACGCTCAACAGAGACTTCCTCTGTAGTACTATCATTCTTAAGACTCCGGTAAAGCTTTCTTGTATTCCCCAGAAGTTTAGTGATGTGCTATGAAATTTCCACAAATCCTGAAAGGCGTTGGTGTTCGCCGAGCGGGGATGTGAAAACGGTGCTCGCGGTGCGCTGTACTAGTGCAGTGCTGATGTCACGGCCATTCGTCATACCAAAACTTTTGATCCTGTGCATTAGCAATTAACGGCGGCACCTGCAATGCGGCAGCTCATTATTCGTGTCATTCGTAAAAAGCTAGTATGATAATATTGCCCGGCGCAGGAATTCGGAGGCTAGCCAATTTTTAACTTCATCCGATAGCAGTATGCGTTCCTGGTCCAAACCTCTGGCGATTGCGAGTACGAACTTAAATACCGTATTCCACCGTGCGGCATTGTGTGGTAGGGGTTTCCATACATCGACAGTGCGAAGAGGTATGCTGTGGTGCTTCAAGTTACGCGATATGCAGCTTGAACCTTTCAACTGATGCCTTCACACGGCCTTATGTTATCGCAAATTGTAGGTTACTAAGCCGGCTTGTTCCGCCGCGGCGCTCGTTAAACCTATTAATTTACCGGTTTCATCCACGGGCCCTCGGTCTTCTCGATCAGAGACAAGATACCGCAACGGGTAATAGTCCTTTCCAAACCAAGTATAGCCTAGGGGAATGGTTGAGATCCTAATAGAAGTCCAAGTACTTGAGATACTTGTGGGTTAGCCCGTCAGAGTATTCTGGTACTTGGAAGGGATAGAGGGGGGACTGTCAGGACTGTTAGGGATAACACATTATGCCGTAAACAACCCCGATATGGTCGGAAAGTTGGGACTGACAAGCTCCTTATTTATAGAATTTCATGCTCTAAGACTGCAGTCCTTAGTAGTCTGTCTAGTCCTACCAGTCCCAGGCGTAGCCCGTCCAAGGACCCCCGAAAAGGCGGACTACAGTCTATAGTCCGTCCCGTCCGGTCCCAAAGACGGAGGGACTGGATGGGTTGGTAACGCTAGCCCCATAAGATGAAGCTTAAGATGGAGTCTAGTGGGTGAGAAAGTGGAGGTGCGGTCTCAGTTAGCTCAATGGACAGCAGGGCGCAGAAGGGCGGCGAACTAGGTGACCAATGGAGATATTGGCTGACGACAGACCAGGAGAAACTAGTATATATCTCCTAAACGGCTAATGACCGTGAAGGCCGAATACACTCAATGAACAGAAAGGAAACACAGATCCTGGTAAATGGTGATCCTCCGTGATCTCTAAGAATCTCGGGCTCGTGAGATCATTCATGTCTGATACAGGTATTCACTTGTGTGTACCACAACGTCACATAATTATCAGGGATGGAATCCTCTAATCCAGTATTATTATTTTTTCCCAAATTCTACCTAGTCTTGCCCTCGTCCTGGAGAATATTTTGCTCTTTCAATATTAGTGACTTTCATTTTTTGGCATTTTGCCCTCACCCCTGAAGTCTTTTCCAATCCAAGTGCCCCAGCTGTGTTAAGGGCCACCTCCTATAATAATAGAGAATCTAATGATGCTTGATACCTCATTGGACCTCAAAAAATAGCATAGGGTGAAGCAAGCTAAATTCACGATACCCGACACCATGTAGGAACATGTATCATCAAAAGGAAAAGCTTAAACCTTATACTCCATAACCTCATACCCCTAACAACAGAGCTCCAATTCGCCTATGTAGTTGGAAGGCAGCCCAACACCATGAAGTCGTATGATGAATCCGGATGTCTGTAGATATAGGTGTGAAGTGAAGTCTTGTGCTTGAGCCTAAACCACATTGAGTCATGCTATCCACTCAAGTATTTTAAAACATTTGAAATTGTGTATAAAGGAAAGGGGTGGACTACGTGATTTACTATATCTTGCACTGACCTTGGGCGTATACAGAATGTAGGAGAAAAATATATATGCTGCTTCATCTTAGGAACTTGTAAGGTAAAGCTCCGGAAAGCTCTGAGCATGGCAATTTCAGACAAAGAACCCCTGCCGCTAAAGTAGTGGAAGTTAGTTGTCAATGAAATAGGGTTGTTGTTGATTATGGCAGTCTGGGGAATGCTGGGGGTGGGTTTTTTTATTATGGAGTTTTGGGAGCTGTCAGGATTTAACCTACTAATTAGTGTTCCTTACGGGGCGGGGCGGGGCGGGTTTCCGCAAGTGCTCCCCCCCCCGTTACGGCCACAGGGCACCGCCAAACTCCCCACTCCCCGCCCTACCCCCCGCACTGGGGCTACCGGGTGACCCCAATTGTGCTCCCAGCCATATGATTTGGTGGGAACAGTAGCGGGGCCCCGTACAGGG